AACTAATCACAGGCACCATATCTAATTCTCATGGTATGTGAAGATATTTCTGCGGGTCTTGGGCTTTTTTTAGGAATACTTAGCAATCCAGGAAAGTTTTATGTCCCCACAGACATATCCTAAGGACAAAAAGTGCCGCAAAGAAGTCTTTAACAGCATTCAATAATCTTATTTTTAGTAGTAGTATGGATACTGCCAATTTTAAACTTGTATGTGACAATTATATGATTAAAATAAATAATTATGTTCATATCAATGGGTGGTAAGGTTTTCAGTGTAAGAAAACAGGGATAAAGAATAAAACGAACAAAACTTAGTAACAACGTGGCAATCCGAAATTTGATTGGGAAAAATCAGTATGAACTCATGATCTTCTTTCTGTTTTAAAAAAATGCATTTTCTAGTTCTGTTCTCTAAAGAGCACCTAGAAACTATGACACTCCAGCAGAAATGAGCAAGGATGGGAATCCCTTTGTCCCCTACCAATCACTACTCACCCCCATGGATTACCAACTATCCAGATTGCTAATACAATCGTTGTGCCAGGTTTTAAGCTTGCTATCGAGGAAACAATACAGCACAAACTCTTTTGTGCTTGTCTTCTTAAACTTGACTTTATGTTTGTGGGATGCATCCATGTTGTTGTGCATTATTTTTAGTTTATTCATTCTCATTACATACAGTACTTGACTGAATATACAATAATTTATTTAAGCCTTCTACTGTTGATGAACACTTTCATTGTTTCCAATTTGAGATATAATGACTAGAACTCCTATTTTTTTAAAAGATTTTATTAGGGAATTGGGGAAGGGAACAGTGTTGGGGAATTAGGGAAGGGGAACAGTGTTTTTCCAGGACCCATCAGCTCCAAGTCAAGTTGTTGTCCTTCAGTCTTAGTTGTGGAGGGCACAGCTCAGCTCCAAGTCCAGTTGCCGCTTTCAATCTAGTTGTGGAGGGGTGGGCAGCCCTCCATCCCATGCTGGGGTTGAACCGGCAACCTTGTTTTTAGGAGCACGTGCTTTCACTAGCTGAGCCATCCTGCCACCTGTTGGCAGCTCAGTGGCAACTCAGCTCGGGTGCACCTCACTGGTCCATGTGGGAATCGAACCACCTACCCTATTGCACTCTTGAGCAAGCTCTTAACCGATTGGGCCACCCGGCCAGCCTAGAACTCCTATTTTTTTACGTCATTTATTGAACATATGGTACAGTTTGGTTAAACATATGTGTTATGCACATATGTGCACATGTATTTGTTGTATATGTGCCACACATATGAACATATGTACATACATGTAGAGGAGAGACTGTTGGTCATAGGCATGAATACTTTCAGCTTTAATAAATACTGCAAACCAGTTAGTGAAAACAATCAAGCATTTATTTATCTTACTTTTTCTATAACAATTGAATTTCAAGTTAACAAAGTAGTCCATAAAGCAAGTTCCTGGGCCGGCTGAGTGGCGCGATGGTTAAGAGCTGGCTTGGGACGCCAGAGGGCCCCGGTTCGGATCCCACAAATGAGGGCCAGTGACACTGCCCTCCACAGCTAAGATGCTGAACAACAGCTCAACCTGGAGCTGGGCTGCCGTGAGTCGCTGGGGACAGTGTAGGCTGCAGTCCCTGTGGCAGTGGGTTGCCATGGGCTACCGTGTGTAGCCAGCAGCCAGCATGAGCGGCCAGCAGCCTCAGTGAGCGGCCGTCCAGAAGCCGGCGACTGATCTGCCTCGCCCGGGAAGAGTGCAGTGATGGTGCCAACTTGGGCCAGTGAAGCAACGTCCTCTGCAACTAGACTGAAGAACAAAACGACAGCAACTTGTCTGTTCCCCTTCCCTGATTCCCCAAAAAGCTGTTCCTCTCCCTCAATTCCCCAATAAAAATGTTTAAAAAAAAAAAGAAGAAAGTTCCTATTCATAGAAAAACTCCTTCTAGTAAGTGAGGAGAGAATGAGAAGTTAGAAGATGACCATTTTTTTCAGTCCCTGATAAAGTCATGGGCCTAAGCAAAGACTGTTATCAGCAAATACTAAAGCCACTGGGATGAAGGGAAATGGAAAACTTTAAAATGAATGGATCAAAGCAACAGTATCTAAACTAATCAATATTAGCATATATGTGGGGACAACACAGATGTTATGTACATCCTCCTCTGCTGCAAAGAAGAGCCGCTTCATGAAACAGTCTTGCCGAAGACTGAACCTAAAACAAATCAAACCTCTGCGGGGGGTG